AACATTTTTTGTTAGCATGTCGAGATATTTCCCGCCAATGTTTGTGGGCTAAGCCGTTGCATGCAAGAAAATGGATGGGCAGCTCGAATCTCCTCTGGAAGGGAACGTTGGCTCAAAAGCGGTGGGCGATGAAGCCTCGGCGGCATCGAAAAGTGAGGTGATTGTTGCAAGAGGGCAGACTCCTGAAGGTAGCAATCAGGGGGCACCAAGCAGGCGACAAAGGGCGTCGCCACAGGGGCTAGGGCGCGTTGCTGTTACCATTTTACTTTTTGCCTTCACAATCGGCATCCTCTTAGGCATAAAGCTGCCCCGGTGGGTTCAAACCGGCATTCCCTTTCAACCCCGAGCTTTTGAGGACCCCCAGGAGCAGCAGCTTCAGTGGCATTCGCCTTACCTGCCTCTGTCACCGAAAGATAAAGTTGCACTAAACGCCAGCGGAGTACATGATGCAACTCCTTCGTTTCCACAGCTGCCACCATACGATGGATGGGGTTTGCCGTTCCTTAGTCACTTTGAGCAGACGCTGTCGTCGAGGTTGAGACGAGGAAGGGAAGAAGTTTCCTTTTTGCTTCATAAGTCGTGCTTAGGCAACCCTCAACCCGAATACATAGGGAAGACAGAAAAGACATTAGCCAAGCTCCTCTCTGGTGGAACGGTGGACGAGCTGGCTGGCATTACTGTGACCGTGACGGATGTTAAGCCGATAAAACCGAACGGGTCCGGCAGAGAAGGCCTTCCGGTGCAGCGGTCATTCAGTATCAAACGGGTGCTAAGAGTAGGCTATCCACGGATTTTAATGGAAGTACAGGATTTAGAGAGTGGGGATCATTTTGCGTTGCGAGTGCGAGCGGTTGCTTCAAGAAATGTTGGCTGTTCCGACGAAAGGAAGAAATTTGTAGATAAGGTGAAACAGTGGGAGGAGTTGGAGGAGGCCATTGCACGACAGGCTTCCTGCGGCACACCGGGTGATTTGGTCGGAATGCAAAAAGGTCTCTCCGTTCCCTTGTATGTCGGCACTGTTACAAACTTCCCCAATGCCACTATAGAAGACAATCTTGTCTTTTTCTCTCACGTCCAGATCTTTCAAAGCTTGCACGGCGAATTCGATTTCGGGTCCCTTATCACAGCCGGCCTCTCAGTGCGTGCAAAGGAGTACATTGCTAGCCGTCTTCTCCAGATTGCGCTTAAGGTGCAGGAGGCACTACTAAGTCACAACGGCCTTAGTTGGTCAAACATCTACGCCAATCCAGACGGTTCTTTCGTTTTGAGTGGTTTTGATGCATGCACTCCGCTCGGAAAAGCTGCTGGAATGCTTGTAAGCTTACGTGGAAAGTACCTAGAGCCAACGCTGCGGCTTGAAGAACACGATAATGCAGCAGAAGCGGTGCCCCAGGCGCAGAGCGATCTGTGGTCCTTAGGAATGCTCCTTTACGAGTTGTTCACAGGGGAGCTGCCCTATTCTAATGATGAAAGCGATTTTCTACATTGTGGAGTGTCAATGGCCAGATACCTCATTGACGAGGAAGTGGAACCTGTATCGCTCGTGCCCGACCTGGATGCCGCCAACTGCCCCGACAGGTGGAAGAGGCTTATTGTGGGGCTCCTCCATCCCGTCAGAGGCGCAAGATTAACGGCGTGGGACATTCTCATAGAGTTTCCCGACCTTGTAGGCCACCGCTTGCCCAGGTAGCTCCACGGTTTGTGACTTTCTCTCGTCAGCATCTTACCGTTGAGCCGTATCCACCCAGCCAATGGCATCTCAGCTGAGGGCAGTTTGTAAGACGTGTAAGCCGCCTACCAAGCCAGTTTTAACATGCGCTTATACCCCTGCGCTACCTGTAGTTACTTACAATACTCGAGATGCATGACGTTTCGCACCTAGATTGCGTTCCCCGCACTTGCATTGCATTTGCGGCCAGGTAGGCTACCAGTTCTCGTCAAAGCGAAGTTCGGCTTCGCACTGTACTCTTTCTAGAGGTTCAACATCTAGGAGTCGTGTGAATCCTTGAAACAGTCGTCAATGCGTTCCGAATGGTTCTGCTGCTTCGTCAAGCAGCACGCCGACGTGGCGTGTTTCAACAGGATCTCTGTGCTCTTTGCACTGTACGAACTAAAAACCAGCGTATGTGCGGCCCAGGAATTCCACGCGGCAAGGCCCAATGCAACGCACGTAACCCAGTGAAGTGCATTTGCTTTGAGAAAGCCACTAGCAGCGGTAGTTAAGAAGCTGCAAGGCGATGAAGAAGCAAGCAACACCCAGTGGCCAGTGGCCAGTTGATACGGAGAATCGGGAGAACTGTAAGGTGTGCATTTGCTGCAGGGGCAACAGTCCACAGAGCACCTGAAGGAACAGGTTGCGTGGCCGTCCCTTCCACTTTTAATTGATTCCATTTTATATGCCATCAACATGAGGCGCTTTGGTTGGTTCGTTTGGAACGCGGGCGTCTCCTGGTAAAGCTAGCTAGCGATAGTCATGTGCCGCGTTTTCCTGCAAGAGCTGCGTTATCCACTCGAACGATTGGTGCACTGCTTCTGCATTTTTATTAGCCTTAACCGACAATAATAACCTGTTTTTTTAGAACAATCACCCGAATAGTTGACCACACCAGCGCTACCTGTGGCAAGCATCCTTCAGCCAACTGCGCAGCACTCGTATCTTACGGAAACTTGAGTACTGTAGATACCCCTGCACAGATAGACAGAAACTGGGACACAATAGACATCAGCACGATTGGTGCACTGCTTCTGCATCCTTTTTAGCCTTAACCGACAATAATAACCTGTTTTCTCTAGAACAATCACCCGAATAGTTGGCCGCACCAGCGCTACCTGTGGCAAGCGTCCTTCAGCCAACTGCGCAGCACTCGTATCTTACGGAAACTTGAGTACTGCAGATACCCCTGCACAGATAGACAGAAACTGGGACACAATAGACATCAGCCAAAATGGACCGATATGCTAGACGCTTGCTTGGGAGAAACACAGCCTGTACTGCACCATCGTCTCCGATGACGTCGACGTCCGCTGACGAAGCGGACTTCCAGGGCCGATTACAAGCTGCTGGGACAGAGACATGTACTTAATGGTGAAAACGATGGCGCAACAGATCGCAAGAATGAAGCAAGGCCCCCAGAAAAAAAAGCACAGGAAGAGCATTCTAATGTCCACTCAACTTGCAGCTGCAGCTCTGCGGGC